CAGTCAAAACGCGGTCGGCACCAGTGCACTCCTGCCGGTGGTACCGAAGACGATGGAAGGTAAGACCTTCGGTCGCTACGATATGTCATCGTTGGTAAGACCGACATGGTCGCATCCTGCGATGGTAACACCAAACTTCACCGGGTAGCGGGCGAGGTTCGCCAGTCCGGACCGGGCATCCGCAGTGGATACAACTATGCGTTGGGACATATGAAGAAGGCCGTCGGAACGATCCTGGTGTATTTGGGACCGAATGGTCCGACCGAACTTACGAGTGGTACGACCTGGGAAACCACTGGGGGAAAACGCGAGGTGTACCCCGAAGCTTCACAAGGATACCATGCCTTGACCGGGGACAGATATTCCTCAGACAAGCGCATGGTGCAGACCATACAAACGTGCGGGCTGTGCTCTGGAAATTATTCGGATGGCGCGCACACATTTCTGGAGAAAAGTGAGTGATTTTGCAAAACCGGATGGTAACACCGGGCTGGTTTATCCACGGGCCGCGGCGGTCACTCCAAGAAAATGCGGGTACGTATGATCAACCATTGATATTGGGGCATATTAGGTGTAACTCGTGAGTGGGGAGGTTACACTTAATAATGTCATGTCTTGGGGGTGACCAAGGTGTAAAGCACTTCGCGCAACGTCTCCAAGGACCTTAGTGTTCGAACAACAGCTTGGTGCAGCGTCAGAAGATCAACTCGACTCAGATCGAGGCGCTGGTGCACATCATCGCAAGTGCCATGGGAAGCTACATAGCAACAGCCTTCGATGCAGCACCGCACGAGCTTGTTGTTTCGCCATTGAGACCGCGCCGGAAATATACCTACCTACATACCACTGGATCTGGATCATGATCGCGAGCAACTCTTCCTCGAGCTTTAGGTTATCTCAAGGTTCTATAATACATAGACCCCGTTTTCCTACCACACACTGTGTTGCTACGCAGTCACAGCACTTCACGCTGCCAATAATGGCACTTCATTGATCGAGCAAGCGGGTACGCTGTGTGTATTTACCTTCATGTATGGTGACCTACATATGGCTCGATGTTTCTTACTAGGATCAACCCGCGATGTCCCCTCAACCCAGTGGTATACGGACCTCGGAGGAGTCTGAGGAAGCATTCAAGTTTGCGTACGACCACTTTACGCCGCTCCTGATTGTTGATTCCTTTGTCTTTGGTCAGTGAGACCACACTGTGCTCTCATCATCTCTCTTATATATTGGGGCTTAGGAGTCGCATCGATCTCAATTATACTTTGGGTCTACTGGACAGCGTAATTTGGATACCACGCCGTCCCGACCAAATACTCAAACCTGCCCGACAGCTTCCTCAGACTTCGCCGATCTGGCATACGTCGTTTTGAAGTGCTGACCGTCGTGACATTTTATGGTCTACTGGCCGCTAGATGGTGCATCAACTATGAAGTCTTCCTCAACATGTTCTCCTCAATGCTAGTTCAACATAATTGCATTTGTGCTCCCTCGCTGACACCGCAAAAGAGGATCCCAGAAGATGAACACCACAGCCCCGTTATCGGTGGATTGGTTTCGGTATCTCGCTCCCGAGTATTATCTTCCATTTATTGCCGAAACGGTGCTCTTCGGTGAGTGGTGAATATGCTGCTCCGTTCCTGCGCATACTCATTGCCGCTGCCCAGCCGCTTCTACTACATTGTTCATCGTTGTATTTTATCTCGTCCTCCAGTGCGTTGAATGCCTAATCAGTTGATTTTGTTAAACATGAACCAAGTATTATCATCCTTTTTTCTCTTTTCTCAGACAACGAAAAAACCTGCAATGGAATAATCGTCTCATCCGCTGCACTATATGGATCATGTACTTCGTGTCGCTTCTGCATTGGTCGATTGACCTGGCTGCGTGCAGCATTATCTTCCGCAAGATACGGAGAAGCACAAGCTCTGCGGTGGTGAGCATGGACATACGTTGGCTCATATATGCAGATATATGTCTCGTTACCATTAATGTGTGTGCTGGTATCCGTGAGTTCAAATATGCACTGATAATCGGAATAGATCATGATGAGTGACGCCGTCGTACTCTGGCGCATGTGGATACTTTGGGATCGAAAGCCCGGCCTTCTAGCAATATCGGCGATGTCTCTCATGCTAACCCTCGGTATGAATATAACTGTCTCTGGTAGCTTCGTCGAGTCTAGACATAACCACTCATAGGATCCGCTCTGGCCAACGTCGTTGTGTTTACGCAAAGCAATACCGTGTCAAGTTTCCGTATCGCCGTGCCACAGCAGCAAGGGCTATTACCCATCTTGAACTACGACAACTGTGGCCTCCTCACTGGTCTGTCGTCGATCATTTCTAATCTGCTCGCAACGGGGCTTGTCGGATATAAGGCATGGTAAGCAGTTTCGATATCTTTCATAGTTTTTGTTTGCTCGAAGGTGCCTGTCCGTTGATGCAATCACGCAGGCAGCACCGCAGGGTAATCGGTGGATTTGGATCTGGTCTACACCGAACGACTGCAGAGAGGATTATGAGCCTTCTGATAGAATCCGGCGCCATGTATGCACTTATATGGGTGAGCATCGTGTCATGACCCTGGGTAGTTTGTTTGAGCCGACCATTTCAAAGGTGGTATGGATTGTTGGCGGTACCATCGGCAGTGAACCCCAGCGGAACATCCTGCTATCAGGTGTAAAGAGCATGAACAGCGCGATGGCTCAGATCACGGCGAGTGTTTGTCATTGCGCCTCCGATAACGCTAATATATTGGTATATAGTCAATCTATCCGCTCATGATCTTCATCCTTGTTGCGCTAGAGAGGACATACTGTGATCGCGGCGGTGTGGTCGGTCGTTCCAGCACCAGGCCGATTGAAATGGCAGGCGTCACACAGCCAGACACAGTGCATGTATCTGTTGGTTTGGCGGCGGAACACGAGGCAGATGAAACGACGCCTGAGTTAGATGTCGGGTCGATGATGAACATGTCGATTGTCACAGAGACAAGGGGTATCCTTGATTAGCGGGGGACGTCCGCTGCATCAGAAACATTTTGCATTACCTTAATCGCATTTAAAACGAGAGGGTAATGGATCTGGCTGCGACACGAGAAATGGTGCAGTGAAAGCACTGCTATGGAGTGTGTCATGCCAATCTATCGATTTTGCTCAGACTACCGACCAATATATCACAACATGCAGTTTTTAAAACGCCGGACACTGTACATCTACTAGGTGCGAGAGTAACACGACCTCTTCAAGAGGTCGTGTTACTTTGAAGAGGTCGTGTTACTCTCTCACCTTCTCTGCTCTATCGGCGCTCTCGACGATTGACCTTCTGATTGCGCCTTATCCCATGGCAAGACTGGTCTCAAGTCAGGTCTGTTAAACTTCCAGCTCTCCCAAGTTCTGCTATATAACTGGCATCGAATCCTGTCCCAGGTTCCAGTTCAACTTTGACTCAATATCGGCCTCAACGCATCACGACATCGATAATCTGCAGCAATGGCCGCACCCCCTGTCAGCATACCCGTTTCGAACAGGATTTTACCGCCAGCACTCATTCTGCTAGTACGTATTCGTATGTCCTCAAATATGCAACTTCATTGCCTGTCTCCGCGTTGATGTTACTTCTTCATCGCCACATCCTGCCCTGTCCTTCCCTTTCCGTTCATGTTCGTGACGACGTGGCGGTCCCCAGTTCAATCCCCCGTCTACGCTTTCCCGAAGCTCCGCGCTTAATCAGACTGCGTTCTATAGGCTTAGACTCCAATTGCCTAGACGAGGGTGCCAATCATTTCAGTCGTCGGTCCGTGCCCGGGACGCGGATATGTCAGCCCTGAACCTCATTCTGCTGCGCCTTTCGATCATGCTTTATCGAGTTGAAGGGAGGCTCGGTTGACGCCTGCAACCTGCTTTCTCTCTCTCGTTGCGTCTTCGCGCCCCATCTCCCTCCTTTTTTGTGGCCACAGTCCTTCCATTTGGTGTCGGCCGATGGTAGACCGCATGGCTGATTCCTGCCTCCAATATTCCCCGGAAGGCTCGGAGGCAATCATTAACAGTCTCCTCAAGCTCATCCAGCTTACCCCCGACGCGTACGCAGACCCACCTTCTCACCCCTACAACGCGTCTAACGAGATCATTGATCCCGCGCGCGCGCAGCCGATCCCGGCTTGTATTCACTGCCTAGTAATCAAACACCTCCATGCCTTCGTCGAGGACACCTCACTCACCACCGCTGAATGGATGGCCGCAATCCAGTTCTTGTCCTCCCTCAGCAAGATGGACATCTTCATCTTCGTCACCGCCCTCGTTATATTTCCTTCCGTGTATGTGGGCGATGAACCCCCCCCCCCCCCCCCCACCCCCCCCCAAGACGGGGTGGCGGAGAGCAGCTTCCTGGAGCCGTTCTCCACCGGGACGATCCGGATGGTGAGCCTTGCAATCGGTGTCCACGGGCACGGAGAATTAATCTAATTGAGTTTGTTTTTGCGTTATTTGAGCTTGCTCGAGCGCCACGAAGTTTCGAAGTATTGTCGTCATCAGTCCGTACCCGAGCCTTGTGCATGTCGGCGTTGAGCTCGTTCTACTGCTCTTCCTTGATCGCCGCTTGTGTTACACGGAGGTCAGGTCGGCCTTGCGACGTGCCTTCGGTCTTCGTTGCCGCTATTCTCTTGTTCTGTCTTTGCACCTACTTCCCAGTCTCATCATTGTGGTTACCATCTTCCCGTGCGCTGTCGACCGATAGTAGATTGCGTGGCTAACCTCCGTCTAATAGTTCCTCGGAGACCCAAATCCTATCACCGACTACCTCCTCCAGATCTTAAATCACCCCCGATGCGTCCGTGCATCCTTCATCTCCTGGACCATAACTCACGAGCCTCTTGTCTAGTCATAGCCGGTCCCGGTCGTATCACGAGCCTGGTTAAGCACCTGCATGTCTTCGTCGAGGGTGCCTTGCTCACCATTGACGAATCGTTGACCGCCATCGAGTTTCTGGTCCGCTTCGGCAGGAATTCGTTCTCCTCTCTGACGTTCTCAGCGTATCCGCTCTCGTCGACGCAATTAACAACCCACCTCAGGGCAACGCGACGGAGAGCAGCGTGCTTGAGCCGTTTTTCACTGAGGATGCTCCGGACGGTGAATCTCTCAGTTGGTATCCGTCGGAGTGCGGGAGTAATTTCTCTTAGATTTAGTTAATCTTGGAGGATCGATCGTATCCGAAGGCAAGCGACAGTGCATATATGTTGAGGGACGCGTTGTCAACACCAAGGGGGAGCCTATCTCGGAAGCGGTGATCGAGACATGGGAGACGGACAAGCTCGGTGTGCCATTCAATCCCTCTACCAACTCGTGTCTTATGAGTGCCGTCGCACAGGGCTCTACGGTATGCAGTACGAGGAACTGTACAACCCGACTGCCAGAGACGTTTGAGGTTGGATAAGGAGGGTAAGTACGGCTATCGGGAAGCTATGCCTGTGGCGTATCCTATCCCCGGCGACGTGCGTTTTTCCTCTTGTGAGGTGCTATTGGGTCGTCAGCTGACCATTGGACATGTTTAGCTTAGCTGTAGGGTCCCGTTGGCGACTTGCTCATGCACCTCGGTCGACACAATATGCGCCCGAATCACCTGTACCTCATGATTTCAGCACCCGGGTGCGTACCCATAGACGTGATCAGATAGCATCCGAACTGACTGTTGTCCCTCTATCGCAGATAAACAACCCTACCGCAATCTATCCGGAGGGCGACGGATACCTGAATAGCGACGCCCTCTTTGGCGTCAAGAAGTCACTCGTTGTCGTACGTATTCCCGTTCTGCAGCGCCTTGAAGATGTGAACGACGATGCGGAAGCACGTGCAAGTATACGGTCAGCCAGGGGGTTCGATGCGACCGCAAGAGGTCGACGCTCACCTAGGCCTCGGTTCCAACCCGAAGTTCGGTTGACTACAGGATAATTATCGCCAGATGTCGGATTATAGAGCACACCCTACGCCGTTACTTAGAGCGGCTGCGAGTGGAGTCAGTTCAACAACTTCGGCATGACAATTTGTTCAGAATACCGAGTCACGACGAGAACGAGCGAAGTTGCGCCGGAAGTCGTGTTTTTGGAGCAAGCGACAAGAACTACAGCACTACAGCACGCGTTGGATAGGCATGTATCGCGCTAATCAGGTTCCGCGATGTCTTGAACGAGTTTTAGAACGCAATGGCGCGGGTTGAGGGCGTGAGGCGGTGGTAGGAAGGACGTTACGAGCGTCGACAGAGCACACGCGTCTACATAACCGGACATTCTCTGGGACGACCGCAACGGCTGGACAACACCTCGAAAATTAGTTTGCCCGACTAAACCTCTGCATGCACCAGTGCAATCAGCATGACAAACGTTCAGAGGACCGCCAAGGAACGAGCGATGGATGGTAGTCATTAGCATCTAGCACATTATATACGCATTTATGGATAACTTTTGTCGATAATCGACGGTGCGAACTCCATGCCACGGACGACGGCACACTCCCATCAAGCCTCGATGAACTTCTTCATGTTCCCGAGCCATCGAACGTACTCCTACACGGATGACCAATCGTCAGCTGTCGTATGATGTAACTAACCCCCGAGGCACGAAACGAGGTCCGCACCTTCTGCTCCTTGTACTCGCAGAACTCCGGCACGAAAAGCGCGAGCGTTTCGTTGATACCGCGCTCCTGGAGCCACTTCTCGAACTCCTCCTGCAGCCCGACGTCGAGCGTCTCAAACTGGGGGCCAACGTACAGCCCGCGACGGCTCCAGTCCGCATCGGCGGTGACGGCAGTGCCGAGCTTGGCGTCGGCGTAGTAAGAGACGTTCTCGATCAGGAACGCACCCTCCTGGCACATGGCGTCGACCTGGATTGCGCCGGGGGCATCCGACTGTGATGGTTAACGGTGGTCAAAAAGCGGCATCAGTGGAGGAGACGGATGAGCTACGGACCTTCGTGATCGCGAAGGCGACGCGGATGGGGTAGGAGGTCAAGGGCTGTTCGCTGGACTCCTGCTCGGCCTCGGTACCCTCCTCTTCAAATTCGGGCTCCGCGGGACTTTGGAGGTCGGCAATGCTGAACATCATGCGGATCCTGGACGAGAAGAAATATAAACACGACGATATTCGGGCGACCTTGGTGGCGTCACGTACTCTTCATTGCCGAACTTCCGCACGAGCGTAACCTCGTCAGCGCCGTCGACATTGTCAATCTGTAAGCGTGAACGTAAGAAAGTAGTCTGCGTGGCAAAACTGTGTAACGCACCGTCCAGTGACCCTGCGCCTTGAACGTTTTGAGGAACTCGGGCTCGTCCGTCTGTTCAGCGGAAGCCTCCAGCTCGTACTTTAGCTCTTCCTCGAACTTCTGGCTCAGAGCAAGGTCCGCTAAGAGGAGGTGTCAGAGATAACATTCTCCTCCACAACATCGAGAACTACTGACTGCTTCCAGCCTTCTGTACTCTTGACGAAGTCGAAAACGCGGAACGCGGCGCATTTGTCCAGGCGGAGGCCACAGCCGTACGGGCAGGAATGCGTGCAACGAGACGACTTGACGACGCCAGCGGCTTCGATAACCTCGACACAGACGCGGTGAGTTGGCGAGCAGCACGGAGAGCAGACATGACGAAGGAGGTGAGAGAGCGGTGCCAGCCGACCGCGACGACGTGCCGTCCTAAAATTCTGGCGCCAGACCCCGTGCGATGTTTACGTAATCAACATGAGATCTCTGCGGTCAGTCCCCTGTCTCTTTCTTTCGTTCGACCACGACAGTTCGAAGGCCGCGACGCTCGCCCCCACAGACGCCTCGCGCGTCTCCAGCTCGCGAGCGGGCCAAGGTCTGAGACTTCTAGTCCTCCTCGATAGGCTCTAACCGAGTCAAGGCTACAACACGCCTAGCGATGCACCAGAAACGCAGCCGTGGCCCCTATCTTGCCCAGAGACCCTACCCACCGGAGGCGAGGGTGGGCATGACAGCTCTGGAACACTTCGCGGGGACTGGGCATGGATCGCAGCACCACCGTCTTCACGCGTCGCGGACGTATCGGGTTTGGCCAGCCTGTATGTGTCCGTCGACACCACTCACTATCGGCGCCGTCTGCCTTCGGGCGGCCTCCGGGTCTTTGCCGGAGCGTAGGAGAGGCAAGTCGATGCTTCCGAGGATCGGCAGTCGTACAGTCCTCCGCATAGCGGGGGTTGGCAGATGTTTTGTCAGACCTGAGTTCGCTTGACAGAGTCGAGCGTCTTTTCCGACGTCAGTCCATAGGACTATGTCGAGTAAGGGTATCTGCCGGAGGCGGGCCCTAGTTTTGTCCGGTCCCCTGAGGGGACGGACGGATGCCAGCAATGGCAAGCATCCAGGGTCGCAACGTCTGCACCCGGAAATCCGCTGCACATGGCAGCAAGTTACTCCACCCAGTGTGGAAGAACCACGACTCGAAATGAGTCGTGGAGTGGTGTACGATACGCTCCACTGGCCTCTTCACTCCTGCGGTTCCTCGCAGCAGGAGGGCGTACGAGGTGAGTGGGTGGATGATGGTGGTGCTTGCGTCTTCGTCCTTCAGCGTACTTCGCGGCTGGAAAACTCGACTCAGACTACTCTCGGGCTGTCGCGTCTTTTTATGCCAATTTTTCGCTTCTGCGCTCTTTGTGAGCAGCTACCGCTCGCGTATTCTCACATGTACTTCGCCCGAAAGCGTTTTCCGATGATCAAAATATACGCATAAAAATTAAAAATACACGTGGTTATGGCGCCGAAATACGCGTGTAGGACGCGCTCCATCGTTGCCCAATCTCCAACGTACTCGAGTTTTTTCTGTATGTCCTAATAAAACCACACGAAACCGGGTCGCATTATACACATGAGCGAATCGTATATCCAAGTCGTTGTATACGCCCCGTGTGTCGTTTGATACAGCGACCCTAGGCAACCACATTGCGCTTGGTGTCTGTGTCCACTGCGATCCCTTGCTGGCGGCTTGTTCTGTATCTTCTAGCTCTACTCCTATAATGCACATCATTACTTTTTGTGAGACGCCGAAGGCTGATGAGCGCAACCGTTGAAGACGCACCGGAGAACGTGGGACGAAACCGGGGGCATGCGTCACCTACGCGCGGTCGTGCTTGCGCGCGTTCGAATACTACCCTCACCTCCACCCGCGCGTCATTGCGTCCGTGAACTCCCTCAAGTGATTGAAGACTCTGCTTGACGCCAGATATCCATCTCAACGTATCTCGTTGCTTGGATCGTTGCTCGGTCCACGCGTACGCTCGCGACTGCGGACTTCCAACGCAACATTGCTCGTAATTGTCGTGCCTCGGTGCTTCAACGCATCTTTCCAGTTGGAACGCATGGACTCAAATTGCTTACAGCCGCCCTGAAACTGTAGACATTGCTTCATAGATCATCGTGCGGTTTCTAGGAACTCGGGTTTGAATAGAAGTACGTGCCAACTTTGGCAACTGTATGGTATCCATTTGCTGACAAAATACCCGTGCACTCCAGCTTCAGCTGTGATCTGGACACTTCAATGTGAGCTCGTCCTTTCCTCTCCCGTTCTTTCTGACTGACCGCTTCGGGCTCGGGCACCGCCAGCATGTCTCAAACTCTTCCCGATTCACGAGGCCCAATCACGGATGAAGACCTTCACGAACTTCTTCCCGTATTTCCAGAGGAGCGCGCCAAACGTCTCATGGCGCTCCTGAATGAACAACAACGCATCTTCAAGGCATCATTCGCGTTGCGTGTGGAGCATAACGCCTCACTCCCCGTCAACCGGCTGCCCCCAGAATTGCTGTCGATAGTATTCATGCTTTGGCAAGGCACGCGATCTAGCGTCTGGTCGCCGACCATAACGCAGGTTTGCCGTTTCTGGCGGGCAGTCGCCTTCCGAACTCCACTTCTTTGGAACAAACTGGACCTCGGTCGCTCGAAATTGGCCTTGGAACTCAGTCGCCGTTTTCCCAACATTCCCCTACGCCTCAGAATGTGGTCTACGCTCAAGTGGGCTGAGAAGCAATCTGTCGTCGAACTTGTCGGTTCTTGTCCGTCCAGGATTATAGAGTTCGAAGCATCGGGCAGTCATGCACATGGTGCTGTGATAGCCTTGTTCCAAACCTACGCTCCCGCCATGAGAACACTCAAGCTTTTCTCTTTTGACGAAGCTATGCGGAGGCATATGTTGAAACTGCGAACCCCGGACCTCCGAATGCTACATCTTTACGATGCACCGATGTCGCTGTGGCAGTCTCCGATCCTTCGTTCCGCCAAGCTGCGTGAACTCATCCTTGATTTTGAGAAAGACAAGCCGCCATTACACAATTTTCCTTCCCTTGACAACGTCCTCGACATCCTCGAGAGCTTACCTCTCTTGAGACTGTTACATCTCTCCGGCTTCCTCCCAAGGACGACCCGTCTTCCAGATCCCATTGCGGAGCCCGAACGTCTCGTAAGCTTACCGGAGCTCTTTTCCGTATGGCTGAGTGATACAACACTCGCCTGTATCAGTGTTCTGAGGAGACTTTTAATCCCGCGCTGTCGAGTGTTGACTATCATTTGCGACGTTGGGTGCTTCCAGTACCTCCCCCAGCTTTGGCAGCTCGTCAGGCCACAGTTAACAAGCTCTGAATTGCACGTTATGGCCTCGGGCTGCAAAACCGATGTCAACCTCAGGGATTGTGAAGATAACTCGCCACGTTCTGTCACCCTAGACCTCGCTGCCTCGTCCATCATCGAAAACCGCGATATGTTGCTCTTCATCACGGAACATCTTCCTGCAGCCAACGTCACCTGCTTAGAACTCTCAGGTTGCCCATCTACAGATGTGGACGTGATCTCCAAAGCTATGATCCAGAGGTGGACGGAGATTCGTACGCTGCGAATATACGATGAAGATTTCGCCGCGTCTTTTTTCAGCGTCATCAGCGATGATACCATACTCGCACGCCACGGCCCAATATTGCCGCATCTGACGTCCCTCGTTCTCGGAGAAGTCACCAACACGGCCGAGGCTCCGTGGTTTGGGCTTTGTCGCGCGGAGGTCGCCAGGCGACAAGCCGGTATGTCGCAAAACGCAGCCCGTATACAGTCGATTTCTTTCATCGATTGTCATGGGATTGTCGAGGGAGAGGTTGCGTCATTGAGGAAAATCGTCCCTATGGTGACGATCGAAGGGGGATGTCGCTCCTATATGTGCACTTGCGTCGAAACCGGGGAATCTGAGGACGAGGACTTCTGACCCCCCATCTACATCACTGCATGCGCCTCACATGTCACGATCACTGAACCTCCCAATACTCGGACTCGGCGTTGCTCAAGTACTGTGTGCTCGGGATGTAGTCTGAGCTTATTAATCATATACGAAGCGAAGAGCGCCCGTCGTTGTCGAGTACATGTCGAAGTCGGGCAAACCGAGCACGTTGCTGTGAACCGTGTAGGTTGAGTTTACTCTGGGCACGCATGGCGGCAATTCAGATGAACAACGTGCTCTCGCACTCGAAGCCAAAGTCACGGTGTGCATATCTATATACCACTGAGTATACGACGACCCCAGCAGGTACATCGAAGTCCTCCGCTCCTGCTCGTGGAAATGGTAAATAGAGCATCATCATTTTTTCTACACTACAAAGTACAGCGAGAGATGAACTCGATGAAAAGTGTGGTGATAAACATTCTGGCTACGGCTGACAACGACGGATTAATTCAATGCCGTGACGCGCAGCTCCGGGACCACTGATCGCACAAGTTCGATATCTCCTTGCTTCAGGCCTACACATTCGTGGAGGATGAGCGTGCGGAAGACAGACATGTCTCCCTTCAGGTGGGGTCGGTAACGATTCCGAAGCTCGGCTAAGCACATGTTGAACCATGGGGTAAGCTTGCTCTCCATTGCACGTACAATTTGCAATGACCTCAGGTCTGGGAGGATAACTCGGGGGCTCAAAGAACTTCGCTCTTCCTCCTCTTGGCGGAAAGCCTGCATGAGAGCCGCCGTATTTTCCACTCCGGCGGTCTGCAAGTGCCTGATCGAGGGGAATCTGAGGAGGATATTCCGTATAGTCGTCACGTTTAGACTGACTACATCCATTAAGATGAGGGACGACAACGTCACGCCCGTTTGTTGGAATAGACGGTCGATCAAGAGGAAGAGGCGAGGGGATGCGGTGTCGTCCTGGACTTCATCGAGGGTGAGAGAGAACGTGTGACCTCCGAGAGCATCGTTTGATAGAATGACGATGAAAAACGTCGTGAGCTCGACGGAGACCTCTCGATTGGGCAGGTGCATGTGCGTAAGATGCCAGAGTTCGGGCAAGTGTTCGTCCCAATCCTCGACGGCATTCTCGTAGCAGCTCAACCACAGCTCCGAAAGAGGTTCCTGCAGTTGCATACCCTTCAGGACGCCGATACATTGGCTCGTCTTCCTGTAGGACATGCGCAACTTTCGGAGAGAAGGTACGTTGGCCATCGGCGTTGATCCTTGCGTTTCCGCCAGACTGTCGTTCAGCGTCAAGCTCTCAAGCTCTGGCAGGTTCTCCAGAGCTTGTAACGTGTCGGCCATCGCGTTCTCGATAGAAGTCATTGGACTGGACTGCACGACCAGATGACGGAGTCGAGGAGATCGCATCACGTTCGAGGTCCACATGTGTTTGAAAGCTGGAGCGATGGCGAGATTTCGAAGTGCGGGAGCGTTGAACGAGCAGAATTGGGCGAGGACGGGTTGCTGATCGTCGTCTCCCCAAAACGTGAGATCTAGCGTGGTCAGAGCGTTTGCGCGCTGCTGGAACGCGTTGAGTGCCGCGTCCATGCTAGTGTCCAGACTTATGCTTTTTACCACGACGTAAAGCTCGGAAATCCGTGAAGGATGGCTCAACATGAGCTGGCAAAAAGCGGACATGGACCGGTCCGAGGGCGGCTCCCCTCCTTTTGTATGCAAGCAAACGCACAGACGCCCACCCGTGAACCGGTTAGCGAGGTATAACGCCAGCTCCGGCGCTTCCGTGACATCCAACCGATTCCGCAGAGCCGGCGTTTGCACAGCGACGTGCCTCCAGAAACCACACACGAGCATCACATCCGGAGGCCACCGTGTAATGCATGCCGGAGTCTCCTCCTCCAAGTAGCTCGTGTAGCTCATTGCAAAAATGTCCGCTAGTAGCTCCTGCGGAAGGCGATTGACCGGGCGCGACGCGTTGTGCTCGATGTGAATCATGAGGACATCGCGGTGAATCTTCTCTGTTTGTGGTATCCGGCGTTTCAGCTCCCTGAGGCGACTCTGTCTTTCTTCCGAGAACGCAGAGAGGCTGACGTCCTTGCTCGCAATCGGAAACATGGCGTGAAATCTATGCTGAAGTCAGATTATTACGCGAATCAGGGAGCGATCAGGGAGCTTACATCGCTTTGATCTTGACGAAATTGTATCCGATTGCGTCGCAACATGGTATGGGTCCGAGCGGAGTCTTTTGTGGACGATGATGCCGCAAATGTGGTCTACCGATCCGGGGGCGCGAGTGATGATACCGTGGAAGGTAAGTTAGCTTAGGTAGGTAGATAGTATTCGGCGCGGTAGCTAAAACCGGAACAGCCCGTGCTATTTCCGCGTTTTCGCACGACCGCTCTACCGCGCCTCTTGTCGACGACGTCCATTGCAGTTACACGAATTTCTATCGCGTGCTCCTTCATGATATATTTTTCCCGACACAGACCTCTGAATGGGTTTATAGAGGGTTTATTTCGCCAAAGTGGTGCCCATATACTTGTCTAGACGGGTTAACAACGTTCGGAACGCGAAGAAGAAACTTGCACGATCGCGGTGCTAGTATCGTGCACCAAGGACAGGACTGAGTGGTACTCTCTGCCCACGCTCGGTCTTGGATCAAGCCATGCACGATGGAAAGCTTGGTGGCTTGGTGGCTGGAAGATCGACACTTGTCACGATTCATGCAGGAATCTTGCTTACCGGCAAGCAATGGTTAGCGGCACTTGCGGCTATATGCGCTACCGTAGAATCTCACGACCTTTTGGTTCTCCACCTAGGACAAGTCTCTGTCACTACAAGCAAATCGCGGCGCCATGGTGTCCACAATTTTCATGGCGGCGGCTCATCGCCCGAACACTCGCAATCGACCAGGTCGCCCGTTCGATGCAGGCTCTGTATCGGGCAACGGATTGTAGCGCCACCATGCGTCGGCGTACGTGTTTTCTGTTAGGAATGTCCTGAGGTTCCGACGAAACTCGAAGGACTTCTACGACATCATCCGATTCTCTGTCGAATGTTCTCCAACACGAGCCGAAAAACTCACAGAGTTTTCCATGACCCTGATACGTCACTTTTTTTCTAGGAAGAAGCTGAACGAGAAAACCCGATTCCGTACCTGGTATAATTGAATCGGGATGCGGAACGTTGTGGATTACGCACTCGTTTCGACCGAGTATATGCATAGCACCGCCATCTTCGACACGAGATCTCTCCCGCCCAGATACACGCCAGACTAGCGCTTCCAGCCGACTGCACGCTTCTCGTGGATCCGGGTCGGATGCACGGGTCTCGGCCCGGAAGCAACATCGCTCCCTCGTCTTGATCAGTCGGTGTCACGCATCGTTCCGCTTCGAGCTTAGTGAGTACTGAGTACTTACTCTTCCTGGAACTTGCCATAAGCAGACGAAGTGGGCGCGGACACAATCTGTCGACGTCGGCTCCAAACTTGGATCGACTCCCTTAATGGTTTTCTTGATCACGGTGGAGAGACGGAGACATCTTCGCATGCGGCCATCGGCAACTGAAACAATGTTTGTATGATCACCCTTTCCAATCTTAGCCTGTGCACGCGCTCACTGCTCTGAATGAAGCAGGACCTCGCCTCTACCCCTCGCTCTTACCGAGCGCCTTGCGGGACCGGGGGGCGTGTTCGTTGATACCAACCTTCTAATTTCGTACCCCGCCGGCTCCATTGAACCGCGGAGAAACGAGGAGCAAGAAGATCGACTGGCGCGTAGACCGTCTCGTGTCATCGTATGGTTCACGCCCCACGTCGTCCGTCACCCACCACGCAGCACGTATTGAACCACGAGAATCGCTCGCCGGGCGCCACGTCGAGGATTTCCAAGGAAATCGAATTCGGGGTTGCTATGCTAGTAACGTACTTACTCATGCCCGGCGAGTGCTGAAAATAATCATGGCTGTGCCCGACCCCCCTATCGTCACCCTCAAGCATCATGGTACACAATAAGCAGTTCATTCGGTTATACAGTACACGAGCTACAACCGGCGGTATAAGGTCGATTACGAATCGTCGCACATAAGAGCTGCTTCGCGTCGCTTGTCCCAAACATAGACGAACACAACATTATTAAGTTCGTATCCGTTCGGTAGTGAGGTCTGCTGCGAAGCGATACAACGAAGAGGGATGGATGCGAGAAAAGAGCACATCTTACGACGTTCATGAGCGAGACGAGTGATGATTTGCGAGGGTATTGGACAAATGCGAGACGAGCGGGCAAGAGAAGCGAGACATTGCAGTGACGTTCCGAAACGCGAGGGTTTGAGGACGAAGCTTTAGAGGTGGGCTTAGGTATCGCGAGGAGGCTTTGAAGAAAGCGATGGATTCAGGCCAAAAGAGCAGGTTGCGTGGACGGCGGCCTAGGCGTATTCGGCAGCGAGTTGAAGATGTGTGGAAGCGAGGACCAGCGAGATCGAAGCTCAGGCCTTTGAGGCCAAACGTTGGCCGCCTGAGGCGGCGGAGGTGGAAACCTGTCGACGAAGTCGAGTTCAATCAAGCGCCTGCGGAGGCAAGGGGCATCTTACGTACATCTCCTGACCGAAGGCGGCCATACCAGAGGCCGACACGGGACGGACGGGGTAAGGCCAAGCAGAAGCAGATCCGTCCAGAGGAGGCGGGAGGTGACAGACGTTCGAGCTGTTGACCAGATCACGTCCAAAGAAGCCGCGGGACCGAGCGAAGCGCTTAACGGGACTAGAAGGCGTGACGGACAGAGTGAACGGAGACGCGGACGGGTTCAAGCCAGACGTCGTATTGACGTTCGTCCCAGGGCCGGGAGCAGTCGAGGATGCCTCGGATACCTTGTCGATCAGCTTGACCTCAATGCGGAACCCGGCATAGTTCTGGCCATTCAGACCATGCAATGCGTCATGGGCGTTTTGAGCGCAGTCGTACTCGACGACGATGGAAAGCCTTCCCGCTTGAAGGTCAGTGGGGGTCGCCTGGAGCATCTCGAGTCGCTTGACGTCGCCGAAGGGGCAGAGCAGGGGCTGCAGGTCAGTACTCTGAGAGAACAAGAGGGAAGGCAGGTTCGTGACGAGCAGTGTTGACGAAGGACCGGCCAAGGGTATCGGGGATGTCGGTGCGATGGCGACGTCAGGCGTGTCGATGCGAGTGGGTGCGTCGGACATGTCGGTGGGCGACGAAGACCGGTTGGAAAGAACGACGGAACGATCGCCACCGTCCAAGAAGCCTGGAATGCCGGATGTCAGCATCGGACGAGTACGCATCAGTGAGCCCTTGCTAACCTTGAGAGCGTTGGACCACTGCCCAAGACACGTCGATAGTATGACCTCTATGGGACCCATCAGTAACGTTCCAATGCCATGCATCATCACGTACTTTATCTGGGTCCTCGACAGCGCCGCCATCGCTGCCTTAGCCTCGTCGTGGCTGGACATGACCACAAAGCCACGACGGCGGGAGGCGTTGTCGACGGTCGCGAGGATGACCGAATGGCTGACGTTACCGTAGCGAGAGAAGTACTCGGTGAACTCGGCCCTGCTGAACATCAGCGCGCGCGTTGATTGGTGGCGAGATATGAACGAACTTGGTCAAGTCGAAGGGCAAGCCGAGAACGTAGAGGTTTCGACGACCGTCCATCTGACGGGCATGCGTCGCCAGCCGGGAGTTGTTGGGCGGACAGAGCGCTGTGACGGTCCTGGCCATGGGCTGAGTCAATGCGATGGGGTGACAAGGGTGTGTGGCGATACTCACAGAGGTATACCGGCGACAGTGTAACCATTCATGCACATCGCCTTTCTTTACAGATGGTTAACAGCTGAGGAGAAGAACGTCGATATCGAACGTACTTCGAGGCATCCCGGGTATAGAACGTCAACTCCATGAAACGACCTTGCTCATCCGAGATCCGCTCTTCGCATCGCCGCACCTCGCCTGATGGAGTCGAGGTCATCAGAAAAGAAAGCATGCATACGACCGAAGACTTACCGATGAGGTTGCAGAACAGCTCCTTGATCTCGCGCCGCCCGACTGGTCGTTGGGATCAGAGATCAAGTTTTCGAAATCGGGTCGAATGTACAAACCAGACTCGGGCACGTTCTCGACGCGAATGGAGTACGTGTCGCGACTAAACTTGAAGACCGGCGGGCCAGAGGGCGCTGCGTGCGGCGGGGCGATCATCGCGCGTCGTCAAAGATGGATATTCAAGAGCGGCGGCGACGCAGGTCTCGTGGACTCGACCAACAACTAGACCCGAAAGCAAGTTGGTCTAGATGAGGTTTGAGGTCAAGAGACGACTGCAGTCCGAGAGCAAGATGGCGAAGAGCGACGCCCGGTCGCAGCTTTTGTAGGGGTCGATCGTTCCCACCTCTGTCAAGGTGAAGGTGGTGAACGAGGTTGAAAACCTGGGTTCAGAAGCGATACTTTATTTCATTGGCTGACATCGGACGCGAGATCTATGTACAGCGCGCGTGCTAGCAAGACATAACAAACAGTGTATATTTGACAAGAGAGGCCGCCACGACGAGGGATACCATAAGATGTCATTGTGTACGAATTGACACCGTCCCGTTGGCCCATCGCATCTGGGCGCGTCAATCATGAGTATGACGATGGAACGAAAGGTGAGGGTTATAGAAAGGTTGGGAGGATCAGATACCGTTGTAGAAAGCTATATCCATGTGGACGATGTCCATGTCATACAGCAGTTGGAATATTGTGCATCATGCGATAGAAGATAGGTACGAACCGCATACTCACCACACGCGCAAGACATATCATAATATCGAGCATCAAGGAGAGTAGACAGAGCGTGATTCTTCTCAACGTGAACTGACGTCCGGAGACGCAACGTAACCTGCATGAAGAAAACGTCATCAGATTAGCATCGCGACACTGAACGCGATGCGATACAGGTTGCGTTTGGAACCAGCGGAGAGCGACTGAATCGGGACTCGTGGCGACTCACGTCAATTGGGAGCATAGTTAGCTCCATCGCTGCGATTTTCCGCGGCGTTGACGACCATTTGGCCAGCCGACTCGAACAGCGGACCACCTATTCCTCCTCCCGTGTCATTGAGGCCGTCAGGGCTTCATTCCTAGCCATCAGGAGCGTCACAGACTGTGCCGTCGTCAGAGCCGTAGACAGCAGTGCGGGGATGGCGGTCGTACGTAGATCTAGATCGGAAGGCGCCTTGTACGTTGGAATTATGCCATTTCTTCGGGCATCGTTGACATCCGAGACATTCCCCAGCCGGAAACATCAAAAAATAGATGTCATAAAGTGGTGAATCGATCCGGAGTTCGCAAATCGCGGTAAATCACAGCCAGATGGTGCGCAGGGTGGTGCAGCCATCGGGGCAGGACGGTGAAAACCGAGCGTGGGAAACACATAGACTCCTGGCCTGACCTCGTCTTTGCACGAAGCTTTGCACGTTGCTCTCATCTCAAGGATTCATCAACATGCAAGGTCGTTGATAATGGCCAACAACGCATACTCAGAAAACCCTGCCACGATCGGCCTATTGTACACGGCGCACGAATACGCTGAAGCGACGTCGTGACGTCAATCACGTGATCGCGTTGAGACGCGTCGGTCGCTTACTCTTTCCCCTTGACTGAGTCCGCTGCCGTCATTTTGCCGCCGCCGCCGTTCGTCTATGCGACCCGGTTCATAATCTACTCTCGCGCTCTCGACGAAAGGGAACGAGACAACATATCGTGTTTCTTGCCAGACACCTGGTTTCACCTTGTGAACGAGCCCGGCGTTGCTTCATCTCGTGGCCTAGGGGAGGATGGGCATCTCGGGATTGCTGCCGCTGCTCAAATCAATTACGAGGACGAAGCACTTGTCGGAGTACTCTGGCCAAACCGTTGCAGTGGACGGCTATGTGTGGTTGCACAGAGGGACGTACGCTTGCGCCGTCGAACTCGCGAACGACAAACCTACGCACAAGTACGTCCAGATTACCGTCGACGACGATCACATACAACCTTGTTGACAACGCTACAGGTATGTCGACTACGCCATGGGTCGCGTTCGACTTTTGCGCCACTATGGCATCACTCCGTACCTCGTCTTTGACGGTGGCCCTTTGCCTGCAAAAAAGAGGACGGAGGTTGAACGCGCTAAGCGACGAGAGGAAAACCTAGCGAAAGGGAAGCAACTCGCAGCTCAGGGAAGGCACAGCCAAGCGCGAGAATACTTCGTCAAGTGCATAGACGTAACGCCCCAGATGGCCTACCAGCTCATCAAGGTGCGTCCTGTTCGCCGATCGCCATCTTACCCTCGTAACGACGCCGCCATTTCACCCAGGCACTGAAAGCAGAGAACGTTCCCTACGTCGTCGCGCCTTACGAAGCCGACGCGCAGCTCGCCTACCTCGAACGCACCGGCGCCGTCTCCGCCATCCTCACCGAAGACTCGGACCTGCTCGTCTTCGGCTGCCGCCACGTCCTCTTCAAGCTCGACCACGTCTCCGCGACCGTCTCCGCCGTCTCCCGCTCCGACTTTGGCTCGCTTTCCTCCTCCGACATCACCCTCCTCGGCTGGTCCGACGTCCAATTCCGCGCGATGGCCATCCTGAGCGGGTGCGACTACCTGCCCTCCATCCCGGGCGTCGGGCTGAAGACCGCCTGGGCGCTGTTGCGCAAGCACAAGAACGTCGAGAACGCCGTGCGTGCGCTGAGGCTCGAGGGCAAGAAGCCCGTGCCGGACGGTTACCTCGACGCTTTCCGGCTCGCAGAGAAGGTCTTCCTCCACCAGCGCGTGTACGACCCCGCCCAAGCGCGCCTCGTCCACCTGAACGACGTCTCGCCCGGCGAGCCCTGGGACGCGCGCAGCGAGGCCTACGTCGGCGCGTAAGTGCACCCTCCACCCCACCCGGTTCTTCCTCATGCAACAAAAAAACTGAACGCGATGCTGGGATGTGCAGTGACGTCGCGACCGAGACCGCGGCGCGGATCGCCACTGGCGACGTGTGCCCCGTCAGCCTCCTCCCGATGACGGACATCAACCCGCACTACCGCCCCGGCAGCGGGCGCAGACCACTCCAGCTCACCACCGGGCCCAACCGGCGGCACTCCTCCTCGTCCTCCACCAAGGACAAGGACAAGGGCAAGGGCAAGGCCATCCCTACTGCCGCCGCGCCTTCGCCTAACGGCGGGCTCCTTCACTTCTTCGGTGCGTGTGCCGTGTTCGGCTCCGCTGTTGCAAGGCGAACTCTAACCTCGCGTCCTGCCGACATACAGCGCCGAGGCCTCCACCGACGAAGGCGACTTCGTCCGACAAGTGGCCGACCGTGATCGCGGGCCGCGAGAGCGGCAAGCGCACCCTCACGGAGGTGCTCGGACAGGACCTCGCCGCGAGGCGGAAGCGACACTGTCACGCCGGTCTCGTTCTATCGCAGCCACCACCACCGCGGCCGGTGCAGCAGAGCCGATTCTTCTCGAGCCCGGCCGTGCCTGTGGCGGCGGGACCTTCGCGCACACGGACGGACGACTACGCAGGGTCCCATTCCGCGGACAAGGAGAACGTTCGCGCGGACGGGCTCAGGGACGAAGGACGACGACGGCATGAAGAAGACGAGCTCGATCTGGACGCGGTCGTGTTCTCGGACGACGCGGAGATGATGGTGGAAGGCGGACGAGACGGCGTGAAGGGAGGCGCTATCGATATCGATGACGACTGGGACGACGCGCCCGAGCTCTCGAGTCCCCTGAAGGAGCGCAGACGCCACTCGGAGCCGTCGCACATCCACCGGGCGAGGCGAAGGAGCGAGAGCGAGTCTGATATCGAAGTCCTCTCCAGCCCGCCTGCCGTTCCCCGGCAGCCATGGGGCGCCGACGTAGACGACGACGACGTACCGGCCCACGCCCTCCATGCGCATGCGGATGACGCGTGCTCGGCCGAGAGGTCTGGAGGCTCTCACGCGCCTACGCCACCGGGGCAGGTGACGCGCACGAGGGACGGAACGCCCGATTTGCGGGAGATGCTGGGAGTCGGTGGCGGCGGATCGAGCAGCGACATCGACACGGAGTGTGACGACGACGACGACGACCAGGGCCACGACGGCGCGGGGGCGCGGCCAGACCCGGGGCCGGGTCCGTCGCAGTCGAGCGCCTCGTCAAAGTCTTCCGCCCACTCGCGGCTCGAGACCCCGCGCGACGACGCGCGTTCCCGAACGGCCGTACGCGTCGTCAGGGTGCGATCCTTCGACAACGACGACGACAACGACGACGACGAAGTGGCCGACATCGCGCACGCGCACGCGCACGCGCACGCGACGGACGCCGTCGCGCGCGGCTGGTGGACGAAATGGGCGCTCGGCACCACGCCCGGCACCAGCACGAACTGGACGACCAATGGGAACGCGCCGGGGAAGGTAAATAAAACCCGCTTTATCTCCATACATTAAGGGGCAGCCACGCCCCGCGTAACGGCGATTTTCTCACTTCGATCCCTTCCATGTTGTTATTTCTAGGGAGGAACCTATCCGAAGCGGGGCACGTTGCGCCGCTGGGACGCCATGCGCACGCCGGCACGAGCGAGCGCAGCAGCGATGCCAGACCCTGATGACCGGCCGCACACGGCGCCAGGGTCCTCCTCCTCCGCCACCTCCAACGGGTTTGCCGTCGCTCGCCCCGCGTCGTCGTTATCGTCGTCGCTTTCCTCCTCCTCCACGCCCAGCGCCGCCGACCTCAAGAGACGCAAGAACCTCGATTTCGGTGCGGGCGGCGGTAGCAGCCGGAAGCCGTTCCGGCTCCGCGACGGGGATCGCGGAGAAAGGCCTCGTGCCGGGGAGGGCGTGGGCGTGGGAGAAGGGTCCGATGGGCCGGATCTGACCGAAGAGGAAGTCGAGATCCGGAGCGACGTCGCGGATCTCGAAGGGGGTCTAGGCGTGGAAGAGGAGGAGGTCGCGCAGGGCGCGAAGGCGAGGTTGGCCGCGTTCCGGTAAGTTGCCATAGTTTTTTTTTGTTTCCGGACCCTGCCCCCCTCCCCTCCTGTGCTCTTTTTGCTTTTGTTTTTCTTTTCCGCTTGTATCGTGTGGTTTGTTTTGGAGGTTTAGAGGTTGACATGTGCCCCGGTTTTTTGTGATAGGTGTGGGCGCTCGTAGGCGCGCGCTTGCGTAATGGGGAACGAATCAGAAGCGACTTCGTTATAATTACGGCACGTTGTCGATCCAGAGCGCTCTGACGGTCTCCCCTCTTCCCTTAATCTGGTAGGTATGACGACATGAGACGACAAAGTCTGGATCTTCTTCTCGCCCCGTCGCGTTTCGCATCTTATTTCCCCCAACCGTCTCTCGCTTGGAATAGTTCATTCATCATTCGTCGGGAAACCATCAATGCCATGTTTTTTATTTGACCTCTTTTTGGACCGCTTTTCATGAACCAAGATTAATAATCAGAAGCGGAACCCCGCCCGACCCAAAACAGGGACGGAGAGTTCTGTGACGACGGGGAGGGGGGCTCGTGGGCGGAACCACTGCGCCACGATCAGAAGGCCGGGTGCTGATACGGGCGCGAACTCGAAGCACTGCACAACCTTTCGACACCAGAAACGGGGGAGAGGGGGGGGAGGGGGGTCGTCGGCGGTGCGCGCTCGAGCTCATCGGTAACCATGCAGACATGCGGCCCTTCAGGGCGTATATCCGATGTCGAACCTCGTCATATCCGGGAATAGAACGTTCCCCGTCCGTTTCCTTTTTCTTTTTTTCTCTTTCTTTCTCCGTGTCCCCAAAGCGGAATGGACTCTTGCGGCGGAAGCAATGCGGGGGGGGAGGAACGGGGGGGGGGGGGAGATCTCGGTCTGGATTCTGCGATTCCGGTCGAGGCGAAAAATCTGCAGTCCTGCGCTCTCATGTATGTCTATTCTGTCACACACACACACACTCCCTCTCTGATCCCGACCAACGTTAACGGCGTCGGCGATGAACCTGACCATCCGATTCCGATTCGCAGGATGATACATATCACGGAACGTCGCCAAGCCGAGCACCCGAGGCCAGGGCGCCTGACGCCTCCTTTTTGTTTCTGGCTCCCCGTTTTCCGTGGTTAGTACTCGAGACAAAGCACGGCCAGCGTCGTCGGGAAAGAAGCGTCAGCGATCTGCATCGTGATCCCCAGGGAACGCGCTTCGCGCGACCGGAGTAAGCAAGCGCACCGCCGCCCTGGGCTCAAGGGCAACAACAACCTTCTTTCTCGCGGGGTCAGAACTCACTTTGACCTTTTTTTTCTCAGCGTAACTCCGGACAGCGATCTCCGCAAGCAGAAAGGAAACGGAAAAAGCAAAATTAAACACCGAGGCACCGACGCCCCCCCCCCCTCATCCGGCTGCCCTTCCGCACCAGATTTTTCCACCGATGGCCTGAATAAGCATATGTACTCTACACGTCGTCTGACGCGCGCGAGGCGTTCGGGGTTATTATTTCTTTTTCGCTCAAGAGACGCGCGCGCGCTCCCTCCTGTCCTGTTCTTCCAAGTCCACGTCCCCTCTGCAAGCGCCTGCTCCCAATCCACGACTGCGACCCTAAAACATCGCCGACACAAAAACACGCAAAAACGCTATCTTCTGGGACACCTGCGTGCGAGCGAGCCCTGCCTATCGCCACGAGCTTCCCGCGTTCCCGTCCCTTAAGCTTCGCCCCAGGGCACCGTGGGCGCGCTAAAAGTAAGTGAGGCCTGTCCGCTTCAGGCTCCAGGCCCCGTCACAGGCAGACCCATCTCACCGAGCATGCAGCAGCGTTGCACGCGGTGTATAGATAGTACTCGGCGCAGTCGCACGCGTTACGCCGCCTGCAGTGACACGACCCAACAAGCTCGACAAACGCTCCTCTTCTTCCTTCGATCCCTTGGGTCGATCGCGCACCCCCCGCTCCCTCTCACTTACATACGCGGAGGCTTTCCCGGGCCACCGGGACCCGCATTGGCGCAGAAGCTCGAGATCATCGCCGGATCAAGCGACCAGGCTCTGTCCACCGGCGAACGTGCCGCGACTAGGTTAACTCGCCGCTCAGCGCCGGGTTCCGACATGCATCCGCGCCGTGCTGCTTATCACCCCGCTAACGGCGCGCACCACGACCGCGTCTTCTCTCCCTTCGCTCCCGCGCCCGCTGCACCGACGACGCTGCCCGTGCCGTCACCCCGCCCCTCCGCTGGCCATCCTCCTCCTCCTCCCCCTCTTCTTCGCTTTCCTTTCACGACGTCGGCAGCCCCGGGCCCGGCACCCGTCCCCACCGACGCGATGGCGGCGTGCGCCACCACCCTCAACCTCGCCCCGGGTACAAGTACGGCTTACCCTCTGCCCGCAGGCGCCATCCCGAGCGCCTCGCCCTCGCTTGCCACCGTGTCGGTGTACGCCTCGCACACGCACATGCATACCATCGCGTACGCGCCGCCGCCGCTGCCTCCGCCGCCGAATCTGCTGCAGCACGTCGGTTATCTCGCCACCGGGTACGCGCCGGAGAGCGCGTACGCGGCATCGCAGCCGACGATCCAAGATCTGCGATACGTCCTGTACCACCAGCCCGAGCCCGAGCCCGAGCCCTCCTACGAGCCACTAGCGTTCGTTCACCATCATCAAGTCAACCCTTGTCCTCCTCCTTCTCCCCCTCCTCCTCCCGCAGACGCTGCCTACCGGCCCGGATCGATCGGCCAGCCGCGCTACGACCCTCCGCCCGGACCACCGCCGCCGCCACCACCGACCCGGGCTCGGGGGCCCAGCTTGGATAGCAGCATCCCGTCGTCCTCCGCGTACGCGCCCGACCTCGCCCTCGACCTCGACCTCGAATCCGCGCCCGCGCCGCCGCCGCCGCCGCCACCCTCTTACACCGTCGTCGTTCCGCCCGGATCCGAGGACGCGTACTCCACCGCGGGCTGCTACCCGTCGTCGTCGTCGTCGTCCTCCTCCTCCTCCTCTGCCTCCTTGTCCCGGACCGCCGCGGCGTTGGGGGTGGTCCGGACCGCCGCTGTCGGCTGGCACGTCGATCAGCAGCCGTCCCCGGTGTCGGTGTCGGTGTCGGTGTCGAGTTACCCGTCCGCGGCTTCTTCCTCTTCTTCGCAGCAACAGCAGCAGCAGCGGTGCGATCACGACGACGACGGCCCCGGTCTCGCACGGCCAAACGTGGGCCCGGGACAAAGCCGGTGGTACACGGACCAGATGCGCTGGACGCAGTACGCGCACGCGTACGACCGTTCTCGCGCTCTCCGCGGCACCTCCCGCTCGGGCTCGGGATCGGGCTCGGGCTCCGCTTCGTCCTTCTCCTCGCTCACGTCGTCGCTTCCGTCGCCGCGTGCTCTTCCCGAGTACGAGTGTCCGCCGCAGCGCCGTCCGGATCGCGCGCCTCCTCCCCCCGCTCCTCCTCCTCCTCCTCCTCCTCCTCCTCCTCCTCTTCCTCCTTCGCTCGAGTTCGAGTCCGGACGACCTGCTAGCCCGAGCTCGGGATCCAAGCGCGCGCACGAGGGCGTGGACACCGACGGCGACGAGGACGACGAGGGGTTCTCCCCTCCCCCGCATGCCGCTGCGAGCGCGAGCACGGCGGGTTCGCGAAAACCAAAGTTGCACCAGTGCAAGATCTGCAAGAAATGGTTCCCGCGGCCGAGCGGGCTCGAGACGCACATGAACATCCATCGCAAGCTCAAACGTGCGTATCAAAAAAAAACTATAATAACTATAAATATATATATTTGCGACGCTGATGTGTCGTCTTGCAATTGGGGGGGATGGTGTTTTTTGTAGCGTATAAATGCCCGGTACCGGGGTGCGGTCGGGATTTTGGCGTGCGCTCGAACGCGAAGCGACATCTACGCACGCACGGGATCCACCCGCCCTCGTCCTCCTCCTCCTCCGGATCCAGAGGCGGCGGCGGTCCGCACCTGCAACGCGTCCGCGGCGGAGGCGGGTACGCGGTCGGGTTCGAAGACCCCGTCGTGCACGACAACACCTTCCTCATCACAGGAGGAGGAGGTAGAGGAGGAGGAGGGATAGGGACGAGGAGGTTGAGATGGGTGCCGCAGAGTTTGCGCGGGAGGACGAACGAAAGGGCGTTGAGGTGCGATTCGGAGTCGGCGGGGTCGGAGGGGTCGTCGGTGGCGGAGGACCGAGTGCTGGATAGTGCTAGTGTGAGGAGGAGGGCGAGGGAGAGGGAGAGGGGGAGGGAGGGCGGGGTGAAGGTCGAGCCGGAGGCGCTGCCGTTGACGCTCTTGCCCGTCGTACCGTCCGGCTCGGAGTGGGGCGAAGAGGAGCGAGACTCGTATGCACAGGTCGGGCCGTATCCGTACCATCCGAACCAGGTGAGAGGGATCGTGGGCGTTGTGATGATGTGGTATGGCGTGGACGCTGACCGTTTCTTTGTTTTACCCCTCTTGTAGTGGCGTGCGCTGCCGGGTCCGGCGCCCATCACGGCGATTTGAAGAAAAGAACAAAGAAAAAGAAAAAAACATCGCATCGGTTCCTCTCTTGTGGCTTGGGCTCCCCGCGTCGTAACTTCTCAGCACAACGTTAATATGCGTATAATCTTTTTCATCCGTCCATCGAAAACGCTCCATCGTCATATCTCATGCCCTCCTCGCGGTGACGCTCTCCACCGCATGTTACTCTGCTCTCTTCGCATTTTTTCTTTCTCTTGGGCCGCAGTGTCTTTTTGGCTCGTTCGTGCTGCGCATTCGATTTCGCCGCTCCCCGCTGCTTGCTGGTCATCGTGTCTTGTGTCGTCTCGTCTCGTCTCGTCTTGCTGCTGTCATCGCTTGTTGTTGTTCGCTCTGCATGCCGTGCGCTGTGTCCCTTACCTGTATCCTCGCCTCGTCACGTCAATCATCCACCACATCTTAATACCCTAAAACATCCACCTCGATGTCGGCGCGCACGATATATTACCCCCCCCCCCCCATTTCCATGTGCGTTTTCAATTATACAATCACGACCCATCCACGACCACGCCGCCACCGATCGTATATCCATTGTTTGCATTGTATCTCACAGATGACGCGTGTAAATTCTAAGTACGAGAGAGGTACTGCCCTGATATTATATCAATAGATACGTACGAACTTGGGCCATGTATACCATTGCAGGCGTGTAACGTAGAAACTGCATGATTTATCACGTTCGGGATATGAGTCGTCGGAGATGGGCTCGAGCGCAACGGCGGTGCCCGGTGGAAGAGATTGACACGGATCCGAATGGGCAGGATGGTCTACGGCGGTGCAATTCGGTGATCATTTGGAGAAAGGCGGACGAAGGAATGCGCCGCCGGCGACATTCCAGAATATCGGCGGAGTCGACGAAGAGGAAGGTTCGTTGGCAAAAAAAAAAAACCCGGATGTGGATCATACGCGAATCGGCAGACGGCTCGCCCTCGATACACCCTTATCTTCTTGCTCCTCCATTCGAGTTACTTGGGGTGTTAAGGAACACCCCCGCCGGTCCCGCAAGGCGCTCGGCATGAGCGAGGGACCTGCCCGATCCGGAGCCGTGAGCGGCGCGTGCCCAGGCTCAGATGGGAAAGGGCGATCATACGAGGAACGCGTTCAGGTTGATGCGGGGTCGTCTATGTCCATCGTATGCGGGAGTCGATGGAGTTGCGCACCGACGTCGACAGATTATGTCCGCGCCCCACAGCACTTGCATCCGATTTTGGCAAGTTCTGCGAGGGCGAAGTCGAACGTGGGCACGAGGTGGTCAAGTAGTACTTGGGTATACCTGCTTCAGGTTGTCAATCGCGGTAGAGCGGTTGCGGGGAGCAGGGTGGCTTCCAGCCGAGGTACGTTATGCATCCCGGATCCGCGAAAGATGCCGCGAAGCCGGCCAGTCTGGCGTGTATCTGGGCTGAGATCTTTGCCTGAGGTGGGCGATGCGATGCCCATACTCGTCGGCTCGGCTATGAAACGAAGGTGTCGCACACATCGCGTGTGAACGCTTCGTTCGATCGGAATAGCGTTCCGGGAGTGTAGGGACGGAGCTCGACGGATGAGAGTGCCGTTCGTAGCGCCGAGTTGTAGTTGGGGTAGAACCCGTATGTTCGCTCTCGTAGTCTCGGTGGGACCGGAGCGACTGCGATAGCGAGTAGGAGGTACCTGGGCGTAGCCAGGGGAATCAGTACGCGTGTCAGTCCACGCCGCTATACACTGAAGTGGGGCTCTCTTCGAGAGCTCCTGGAACTCCCTCTCTGGAGGGAGTCGCGCTATTCGCAGGTCGTCTCCTACTATGGGACGAGCGAATGACACGACAGCAAAAGATGTATTCAACTCCGACGCAACGGCTATTTACACTCGCAGGTCTCGCTTAAGCGACTAGACACGTGATGACGAACGACTAACTCCGTCAGTTCCTCAAGGCCGTCACATCGCGCGACACCGACGTTCTGCATCCCGATGCGATCATGCCGATTGCGGATTTCTCGTGCTTCTTTCTAATAGAACGTAGCATGGCAGGGTCATGGATGTCCAACAGTTTTTCATCGTGTTATAGAAGGTTCGAAAGAGAAACCTAAAGGATGTCGTCAGAGTCCCTTCGAGTTTCGTCGAAACCTTAGGGGGACATTCCGGACGGAAAACACCTACATACCGACGCGTGGCAGTATTACAATGCGCTGCCCGATACAGAGCCTGCATCGGACGGGCGACTTGGTCGGCCACGAGTTTTTCTGGCGATGAGTTGCAAGCATTCAAGCATGATATCCTTGTAGCGCCGTGATTGACGAATATTTGTCACTGGGTAAATGTGGTAAGCTTCTGTCGTAGCGCATATAGTCGCAAGTACCTCTCCCGATCGAACAGGACCCCCGCACGGATCCTAGCAAGTTTCAACAGCCTCCAGACGTAGCTAGCTTGCTATCGTACACCATTCTATAGAATTCTGGCTCCCCTCGTTGCCACGAGATGTCGAGCCTGGAGACAGAGAGGACTCTTTGTTCGCGTTCCCGATGGTTGGAATCGTGCTATTTCGCCTCTATGTGGGGGGCTACGGCGGGGAAGCGCCTATTATATGCGCGATGGTCCATGATAGACATGCATCATTCATTGAATGTATAAAACAAATGAGCTGCTTGTCGTGTAAGACGGTGCTCGAGGGTGCGACGTTGTGGTGCCTTAGATATGGACTGTTATGGATTAATAACCTTCATGCGCCCGGGAGTCTGCAACGCACGTATTTTTTGCGTCGAATGTATGTCATTTTCGTGAGCGTGTGCCAATATCTGGATCGTCTCTTGACTTCCCTGCGGGAACCTGTCTCTCTAGAGCGAAAACCGAAAGGTGGGAAAGCGCGGGGGAGCAACTCGGACCGTCGCACAGTTGCGACGTCACTGGCTAGTACCTACCTACCGTGTCCACCAAAGCCAATGATCGCTACCGTTAACTCTGCATTACCTACATGGTCAAGATGAAAGCAATGCAAGTCATTTGGTCGCTAACAAAGTTTGGGAGTCCGAATTTGACTGTGGTAGCGCAGACTTCGAGCTATCTTTACGATTGCGAACAAGGACGACGGCCATTCCCTAATCTCGAGGCAGAGACAGCGTCATCAACTCGGGCTGAAAAATCTGGAAACCACAGACAGAGAAAACTCACCGCGACCATCGGAACGTTCGCATCGAGCACAACGCGTCGCTCCCGATCAATCGCCTCCCACCGGAGCTACTGATCGAGATTTTCACGATGAGCCAGATGAAATACGTGGCCGCCCGACGTGATGCTCGTCTTCGGTCTTTGGATGCAGATCGCTCTGAAAACGTCCTGAGATCTCCTCAATTGCGACGCCTCGTCATATATGCCAGGGTGCATCCTTCGGTCAGGAACACTGAAGCAGACATGTTTGGGGCCCTTGGGAACCTGAGGGATTTGGAGAGTTTGTCCTTGAACGACAGTTTGGCTATGACACAGGTGTCGACGTCGAAGGTATGCATGCCTTCTCTCCGCCAATTGCGTGTGTCCCCTAGGAAGACGAGCCAATGTGTCGCGTTTCTGAAGGGACTGCACCTGCAGCAACCCCTTTCAGAGCTGGACTTGAACTGCTACGAGGACCGCATCGAAGGATGCCACGTACACTTGGCTGAGCTATGGCAGCTTACGCATGCACACTTGCCACATCGAGAGGTCTGCGTAGAGCCTCACGAAGATGGCCATCATCATTCTATCCGATTATTCTTCGGACAATTGCGACTGCTCTACTCCTCCTTCCCCCTTCTTCCTCGAACTTAAAGGACTCGAGTGTATCACGGTATTCTCCCATCTCTTCCCCATCATGATTCATCTGTTCCGGCAAACGGGTGTAACGTTGTCGTCCCTCATCTTAGTGGATTTATACCCTCTAGACGTGACAAGCGTACGGAACATCCTCCTGAATTCTCCCTCCATCCGTCACTTGTAAGTTGGCGGGTGGCATGCGGTGGAATCCGTCATGCAAGCTCTTTGTCATGAGGAGGAGCCAGAGCACGGTCCTTCCAACCGTCGCATTCTCCCCAAATTGACATCTTTGCACGTCGGATACGCGATCGAGAGCGAGCAATCGCCGTGGTTCAACATATGCCTAGCCGAGCTTCGGAACCGATGTCAATTCAACGTGGAGGGGGACGAGCCTGTGTTCCGGACGCTCATTCTCAGAAGATACCCAGGTTTGAAGCAAGGGGATATTGATACTATGCAATCGGCGGTTCCAGACATGCGTGTCACGGCCCGGGATTGGCGTAACCGTTTGCCGCTGGCTGTACTTCGTACTGTACAAGGAACAGAAATATCGTTAGATAGAATGTGTACGTGCGAGTCGCTGCTGCCGGGGGGGGGGGGGGGGGGGGGGGGGGGGCGGGGGGTGTGGATGCCTGCTGCACTGTGGCGAGCGGTTGAGGGTTTTTTCATCCAAAAATGGAGTGAAAGTGAACGGTGACCTCACTTGCAGTTCAAATTGAGGTGTCGGGTCATTGTGGGGTGAAATAGCTTTCACCTCAATCTCAGGATAATTACAACGGCACCGAAAGTTTCACTGACGCTCGACGCGGTCCTTGGCACCTACTTGTTGCATTCACTTGTCAATCTCTGCCCCGCCTGCATGGTCGCCCTTGTCAACCACTCGGCACTCAGTACTCAGTGACTGTCCATGACTCACTAGTGCTACTGTAACATGACACGGGTGCATGCATATGACCGCAACACTGCTTATGCATATCTACCAATTCATGCCGGGATTCTCAACTTCAATAGAGCTGGCCCTAAGGTGACCTCCAAACTTGGGGTTGCTCTGCCCAAGTTTGTTCGCTCCACGCTTATCATCCTTGCGGAAGACATTTGAGCCATAGGCGTGTATAAAGCTTGCCTCATTTCGCCCGGTCCCTGGCACGATGTGTCCTCATCCACCCTCATAACACTCGTT